CCTAAAAGAAAGAGTGTTGCTTCATTTTCAGGCTTTCATGCAGGGTGGTGCCAGTGATGCGGGCGATGTCAATATAAGTTCATGCCAGTTTCAGCAACGTAATTATGAGAGTACATGCATACTTGATGTCAAAACATGATGTCACAAAGGTACTAGAAACAAGGTCAACATTCTCATCCCGATGGTTTGCGTGTCATGTACAAGGGACGGTAGGCACACTACATTAAAGTTAGTGGTGCAAGATGGAGGGATGCTTCCCCGTCACCTGTCCAGTGTTGGCTATTCCTGGCTTAGTTTCTGCTCAGCGCCATCACCAGGTAGAGTTGCTGAGCAGAAACCATTATATTTGATCATTTAGTCTTGTGTTTACTGAATGTCCTCTGATATGGTGGACCTCAAAATGGGATCCACAATACAAGAAGAAAACCATTCCTCTGAGGCTTACAGTTTAGTGAGAAGAGTCAGATACTTAAATGATTCCTGGAAAGCTAATTCAGCTGGGAAAGTCAAAGTGCTGGGTATGACAAGGAGTTTACCAGGGAAGCTGAGCAAGGATGCTACAGGTCACAAAGGGGAAACTAATGCTTCCCAGAATGGCTGAGTAGCATGGCTGGAATGAGCCTTATGCTAGATAGTACTTGTAAAGCACAGTCCTATTTGTTCCTCTAATAGCCTGTGAGCCAAGTGCTCTGACCTTCTATATGCTGGGTCTCTTATCAGCTATGGGTCCAAGATCATACAGAGCAAGCAGCAAAGTCATTCAAACGCGGGTCCTAAGCACCAGATTCTTCAACATGGATGTTTTCAAGTTCTGTAGAGGGAAATTAAAAAGACTAGACATACAGACTAAAAAGATTGGTAGAAAGAACACAGTAACAGCTGGTGATCCCAGGAGAATGGCCACTGAATCCCACAGAGGGGTGACCAAAAAGGACTTTCCACCAGGATCCCAGAGGTTGGAGTATCAACACTATAGTGCTTTGGAAATATGCTGATACCCCATGAGGAGGATAGACATATAAACATCACCTTTTTTGTCTCTTGCTCCTAGCCTGTACCCTCCTCCAACCCTTACCTCAAATGTGGCAGCTGCATAGGGGCTGGTCTAGTTTCAGGAAAGTATAAATGTTCTTTATCTTGGCTCCAGTTCTGCCTGGATTATTCTTCATCTCTGCTACGTGCATCCTTCCCTCCTCCCAACCACCCCAAATAAAAATAAAATATAATAATAACTGCATGCTAGAGTACCCAATATGTTCCTTGTACAAGCTTGGTTAAACAAATCGCATTGACCTTTAATAAAAATGTGGCGAATGCCTCCTTCTCTCATTCAATATGTTAATCTTCAGGCCAAACTGCCATCAGAGCAAGCCTCATTAAGTACAAATCTGATCAGGCCAACCCTGGCTCCAAACTGCCCCCAGGCTGAAGCCCAAACTCGCAACAGTGCAGACAAGGGTCTTCTGGATGTAGCCTGTATTGACCCTGCTAGCCTCATTTCCCTCCACCTGCATCCTGCCCATCCTCAAGCTGTCCCTAAGTTCAAAGCCCGCTAAACTCCCTCAGCTCTGTCTCCAGCATGCCTCTGTCAGCAGTCCCCTTGACACCTCACCCCATGCCAGTCACATACTGATCACTTCCTGTCATTCAAGATGCAGTTCAGGGTGGCTCCTTCATTCTTCCTTTCCTGAGTCTCCTCACTCCAGGGGAAGCTGATGGCCCTCTCTGAGTGTGTACAGCACTGTGACTCCTCCCCGCATTCACCTGATTATGCCTGGCTCATACACTCCAAGCTTGATACTGGCACATGATCAGGGCTTAGGAACAGTTGCAGCCAGGATGAGAAGGATACCCAGCTTAAGTTTATTTTGCTACTGACTGATGAAATTCAGGACAAGCATGTGACTGTGTGCTGTGGGCATTGTGGCTTTGTGACAGGAACACCTGCTATCTCAGGCTACAGTACAGACTCTGCCCAGACAGATTCCAGTTGCTCCTTCCCTCTTGGACTTGTCCTGGGGCCTTGGAAAGTTCCCATGGAAAGTGTCAGTTTCTATTCAAATGGAAGGTTTTTAAAAGTTGCCAAGCATGGTGGTTTACATCTAACGTATACCATGCAACACTTGAGAAGTGGATGATTAGTGGTTCAAACCAGCCTGGGCTGCATGACATCATGTCTTTTTTTAAAAAGGAAAGGAAGAAAGGGGAGAGGGAAAAAAAGGACTGGAAATCAGTTAAGAGTACTTGCTGTTCTTGTAAAGGGCCTAAGTTCATTCCCAGAAATTGCATCATATGACTATAATTCTAGATTCAGGGGTTCTGACACCCTCTTCTGTCCTACAAGAGCATCTGTACACACATCTATGTATACACATACACATAAGTGAAACTAAAATATTTTAAGAGGGGAGGGAGAAAGGAAAGGAAGAAAGAATGGAAAGAAAAGAGAGAAAGGACAAGAGAGGGAGGGAGAAAGCCTTGATCTTAGTGTCAGTAAAGTTTTCCTCCAAGCCCAGATGGGCAGATCTCACTTCAAGCACTGATGGAGCCCTGGAGGGGTTCTTGCACCACAGTAGAAGGTTTTAGATGGAGTGGATAAATGGTAGATTTGTTTGCATTATTTCAAACTACTAATTTGATTGGTCTTCTCACATGTAACAGTCAAGGAGCACTAAAACTAAAAGCCCTTAGCAAAGATGGCTCTCCGAATCAGAGAAAATTTGAACAATTCCTGAAGGAAAAGCTGGAGGAATGTCTCTACCTATAAAAAGAGATTGGCACATGAGTGCCTACAGCAGCAGACAGAGCTGTCATCTACATATGTATATTGTCATGTGCTGTTTGGGTCTTCAACGGGAATGAGGCAGGCACTGTATCTCCCCTGTCCATTGCCGTATCTTAAGGGCCTAACCCTGGGCCCAGCTCAAATAGGTGCTTAGTGAATATCTGGTGACTTAATGAATGGCCTTGGCTTGCAGGTCAGGAAAACTGGGTTTCAGTTCCTACCCTGCAAGCACCAGCTTCCTCTATGGCTGTGGACTTTGTCTCTCTGGTCTTTATTCTTCCCATCACTGTGGATGTTTTACTATATGCCTGACCCATCTGTCTGAGTATGGGATCTCAGATATGTATGAACACCTTTCCTTACACAATACCGCACTCAATTGATGGCATCAGCACTACAGAGTTAGTTCTTTCCATGGGAGTTGGATGCATGCAGAGGGACTCTGGGAGTGAACCTATATCATCCCTCTGCCAGCCAGGTTTTGGTGCCCTACTAAATGCTCTCCAGGCTGCTAGACTTGTCATATGGTGGGTGCTCGCAGCACCCTGGGACATTTACCATCTCTGGAGACAGATCTGCAGTTCCTGGGACATGAAAGCCACAGTAAGATGGGATTAGGGACTGAGAAAGACAGAGGCTTGGACAGATGGTCAAAGAACACAACATTGAAAGACAGAAGCAAACATAAGGTAAGGAAACCGGAGAAGCTACAGAAACTGAGAAGAAGCCAGAAAAAGAAGATGATGAACTGCCACATTTTGGAAGCTGAGAGAAGAAAGCAATAGTATTCATCAAAGAAAGAGAAGTTATTGTATGGAGAAAGGAATGGTAGACTATATCAAAAATTTAGACCCTGATACCTTATCATCTTCTAAAATTTCAACCAATGCATTGAATAAAAATATCAGAAAAGAAACACCAAAATGCTAATAGTAATTGTTTGGCATGATTAAATTATCTCCTTTTTCTCTTTTATCTCCATAGTCTTAATATGTGTGCATGTTATTTTTAAAATTTAAAAGCTATTTAGTAACAAAAGATGTAATATATGAAGATCAGACTATCTGCATGGGCCTACAGGGGTAGCACAAACAGAAAGTCAACTATTGAACTTGAGCTTTGAACTTCCTGGTAGGATTTGGTCTGGTTAATGTCTCCCTAAAAGTATCTTCTTAATGTATTTTTAATCAGGTCGTATTTATAAATAATAATGGCAACTGAACAACAGGCCCTGAAGCCTTGACTTCCTCATTTCATTGTGGCTGTAATTCCTGTATTTGTTGTTCATTTTGACTTGTGGCTTCAGAAGTTTAGCCTAGCAGCATGGAGAAAGCATGGCAGAGAAAGCAATTCCATCCACAATGGCGGTAGTTTGAGGTGGAGCTTACAACACACAAGACACAGACAGAGCAGGCTGGAACTACGGCCTGGTTTAGCATCACTGTTAACCACCTACTTTGGCAACCCAGGCCCCAAACATTAAAGGTTCCACCGCCTTCAAAATAGCATGACAAGCTATAGACCAAACTTTCAAACATGAGCCTGGGTGTGCTGCTAATGCAATGGTGCTCAGAGTTGCCTTCTAAGATACAAGCCTGGGGGGGGGGATGTTTCAGATTCAAACCATAGCACTGTACAGCCAGATGTTGGGGAAACTGTGGCTCTGCAGACAGTCCTCTGGTAGGCTGTGTTATTCCAACTCACCAGTATTCAAAGTCCCATCTTTCTTTCTTCCTTAAATCCCTGACACCAGCTTTAATTGTGTGACTTCTTTGACCACCAAAATGTGAACAGAAGTGAGTGACGTGCTGCTTCTGGGATGGAACAATTTTAGAGTCACCGTCTTGTTTTTCATTCTGTCACTAGGATCTCCAAACCGCAAGGCAACCATCAGGTTCAAACCATAACACAGTACAGCCAGCTATTCTAAGAGTCTGAGTCACAGAGTGTAAACAACAATGACCTGGAGGACAGCCTTCAGTCACCTGGACTGTTTGTAAACAATAAATAAAATTCTGTAGTTTAAAAAAAATAAGAAAAAGAATAAGACACCAGCTAGGTGGGGAGACTAACAATGGGACTGTTTGTCACTGAGGATACTAACAAATACACGCTTCTGAAAATGTATGCGTATTTTAATATTATAGATAATAAAGATGTATCAGCAATTCATCATCAAGATACTAAGTTTTGCTTTTATTACCTTCCTTTTTAGATGATGCATATTTACTACAGGGACTTAATATAGAGGAACTGTATCCAGAGACCTCTAGTTTCATCACTTATGATGGGTCGATGACTATCCCTCCCTGCTATGAGACAGCGAGTTGGATAATAATGAATAAGCCTGTGTACATAACCAGGATGCAGGTGAGCTTAACTTTGGTTCTTTAGCTAATGGAAAGAATGTGTGAGGACTGACTGAGCAGATTCCCAGTCAGCAATGTTGATTTAACTAGTATTTGTGCAGCCATAAAGTGCAAACTGGGTGACACGACCAACAGAAACCTGTTTGCCTCGCAGTTCTGGGGAACAGAGACCCGGATGAAGGAGTCAGAATGGTTGGTTCCTTCTGAGGAATGTGAGAATCTGCTCAATGCCTGGCCCCTGTCTAAGGAGAGATCTCACGTACCCGCAGTTTGGGCATGGTCAGTGCTGTGGGTATATGAGATCTCTTCTACATCCCTGACTTTTGTGGTTTGCCAGAAATCTCTGGCATTCCCTGGCTCAAGATGTGCCACCCCACATCTCTACCTTCACTGTCACTTGGTGCTCTCCATGTGACTACATCTCTGTTACAATCAACCCTCTTCAAAAAAGACCCTAGTGGTACTAAATCAAAGCACTAACTTCAATTATTTCATATTAACTTAGCTGATTGCATCAGAAGCAGCTCTACTTCCAGGTAAAGTCACATCCTGAGTACTACAGATTACCTGTACCTTCAATTCACAAGTTGGGGCGCACACAATTAAATCCACAACACCTGTGTTTATAGAGCCAGTGTCTGAAGTGGCCTAATCTGAACTGTGGAGACACTTTCCCTGCCTGGGGGAAATAAGACTACAGAGCTGGTTCCACAGTCACGCTTTACAGATAGAGTGTTCAGTGTTCAGATAGAGGTGCAAATGGCTAAAAATGCAATGCCTCACTCCTGCAACCCCATCACTTGAGAAGCTGAGACAGGAGGACTACCCCAAGGTCTATGCCAGCCCTAAAACAATGGCTACTGAGTAGGTACCTGTCTCAAAAACTTAACTATTTTTTAAGCTAAGTATTTTAAATAAGCTAAAGAGAACCTCAGCGGTAGAGTGCTTGTCCTATGTGAGTGAGACCCTTGGTTCGATCTCTTAGCACTAGAGACAGGAAAAAGAACCTATGTCTCTATGTGCGTGTCAGTCTCGAAGCAGGGGTAACATGGTGCACAGCATCTCACAAAATTGCTTTGGGTGTGAGTTTTTAAATATCATTTCAGGTAGTCTATCCCTTGGAACTGCACAGGAACCAGGCTGTGCCAGCTTTGCTTAGTGGCTCATTGTGCACTCCTGGCTTGCCAGCATCCTTCTTTTCCCCATGATGAGGGTAGATTGCAAGCACCTGTTCCCGCTCCAGCAACTGATATCTCGTATCCAGAAAGTCTCAGAGGGAAGATGAGCAAGTGAAGCAGAACCCCATCTCCTTGGCAAGATCTGTGTTCACAGTCTGACGAGATGAACTTTCCAGCCCCTGACCCTGGTGGGACTTGTTGGATGACAAACAACAATCACTCCTTCTGGGTCACCCAAGCTCAGAAAAGGGACATGTTAGGAAATACTGGAGTATCTCAGAGAGTTCAAGGCTGGAAACTAATGTGATAAAACAGCCCAGGTATTCACAAGACAGAAATTGCATTGGTTCAGCTTAGGGCAGCAGACTTACCACTAGGATCTGGGTAGTAACCATGTAGGGTCAAGGTATTGGAAAGAGCAGAAACCGCTGCCTGGGTACATTTGAGGATGAGAATCAATGACTCGTTTAAAGTCCATGAGATAGTGAGTTACATGCAAATGCACTCCATGTCTGAAAGGCATCAGTGGGGCCATTCACCTCAGCTCAGCAGAGGATGCTGTCTGACCAGGCAACAGCCTATTTAGCCTTTTTTTCCCAGCACATCCACATAGTGGCTGGGTCTCACCGCTGTTTCTCTCCTCAGATGCATTCCCTACGTCTCCTCAGCCAGAATCAGCCATCACAGATCTTTCTGAGCATGAGTGACAACTTTAGGCCTGTGCAGCCACTCAACAACCGCTGTATCCGCACCAACATCAACTTCAGTTTACAGGGGAAGGACTGTCCTAACAACAGGGCCCAGAAGCTGCAGTACAGAGGTGAGTACCGGGGCTCTTGGAACAGTACCCAGGCCAGAGGTCCATCTTTTAGCTTAGGCCTCTCTCCCATTGTAAGATCTCTGATGGTAAATTCACTGCCATACACACTTGCAAGGTGCTTCTCCATTAGCAAATTTCGCATGTCATACATAGATGAAGAAGATGAAGGTTGAAAGGCTTGATTTATGTGATGTATAGATGTTTAATGTCACATGTATCAAACCTTTTTCTCTCCTCTGGTTCAAGCAAAACAGTCCTTTCTATCGACATTTTATCAGAGAGCTGGGAAAGCCTGATTTCCCCAAGGCCATGTTAGAACAGAGCAGTAAGAAGCATTGGAGGTTTTAGCGGTGTGTCTCCTTAAAAGGGATGGAATGCTCTAGATGACACATTGCGCTAGGGTCCAAGGAGTGAATAGTCATATCTTTGCCTAGAGCCACATCCCTATAAGCATTTATTATTCCTACTAAAAGGGTGTTTAAGATGGCATCTGTCTCCTGTGACTGGCTGGTCCACACTCAGGCTTCTGTCTTTTCTTCTACACAATGACTAAGCATCCATCGGTCAACATGGTGTACTCTCAGGGTGGAAAGGGAAGAACAAACAGGGCAGTTTCAGAGATGTCCTGGACTAAGAGTCAAGACATTCAAGAACCTACCTTTAACAAGCCATGTGACTCTACCCTGAGCTTTTCCCATCATTCCCAGTCTCATCCTGGCAGTCTTGTCAGTCACCATAGCTTGTGTCTGAATGGGGGAGTCCTTTATAACAATGACATGGTCCCCAAATACAAGGGCTGTGGTCATTTCCAGACAGCTTTGGAAAGCAGATACCACTGCATTGGTCCTCTTCCCTCTGGGCTCCTTTCATCCTTTTTTCCTCCCTTAGACACTCATAGGATGCCTAAACTATATAGTCCTTGATCCCTTTTTGCCACCACTACAGGACAAATGCCCATTTCTATCATTGACCCTTCTCCTTATTCCTCACTGACTTATTGGACACCTACTATGTATCAGGCACTTATGGTACAGTGGTAATGAAGATAGATGTGACCCTAACTACAGAGAAGTTGTGATCTCAATCAGGGTTTGCCACATTTAATACAAAGAAGCAGCAAGCAAATATATTAGGCGTTGTAGGTCAGATAGTCTCTGTCCCACTCTAATGAAGTAGTATGAAGTCAGCCATAGGTAACATGCAAATGATGTAGCATGAAATCAGCTATAGTCAATATGCAAATAAAGGGGTGTGTATTAGACTGAGGCTATTAACTAAAGTGTCCCTATCTCTGGTCTAAACCAGTGCGCCCCTCTCCCAAGTAGGACTTTCTACATGACAAAACTAGTCTAGAACCATCTCAGCTATTGACCATTTGAAGTGTGACTAGCTTGATGACACAAGTACATTTATTCTTTTCATTCATTTGGCTTCACAGTAGTAACCTGAAGCTCTTGTAGCCAAGAGCTAGCATTCTGGGAGACACAAGCCTAGAAAGCCATGGGGCAGGGAATAGACATGATGCTAATGAACAGGCAGGCTTTTGAGCAGGCCCCCTGCACTCTGTGCACATTAATTCAGGTGTGCCTTGTTTTGTGTTGTGTGTATGTGTGTGTTCGGTTTTGTTTCTTTCTCTCTTTCCAGTAAACGAATGGCTCCTCAAGTAGGGAACTAAGCCAAGAAGAATCCCACCTCAGTGAAGTTCTACAACTGTGAATTGACGTTACCCAGAATGCCCCCTCTTTCTTCCTTCTCTTTCCTCCCCTAAACCTCTCACTCTTTGGATTGGTCCCTTCTTCATGAAAACTGTTTGCAAAATGTGTCAGAGGAGTGCATCTCTCTCTCTCTCTCTCTCTCTCTCTCTCTCTCTCTCTCTCTCTCTCTCTCACACACACACACACACACACACACAACAGTACACACACATCTTATCACCTCCATGATGGGAAGTCAAGCCTCAGAAACAAAGGTTCATTCATCAAAGTCTTAGAAGAAAACAACCAGTTAACCTGATTACAATTTTGATACTGTTTTCCTGAATTAATAACTCTATCCAATGAGACTTCTCAGCCTTTGTACATACAAAAATTCTTCCAAAAGAGAGAGGGGAGAAAACACCGCTCTAAAAGCATCAAGTGGACTCTATCTCATCATCCCTGACGGTGTCCTAAGATACTCCAAGGATGCTGGTGACAGGTAAACCAGGACAAAGCTGACCAAGGACACTTATTTCTAGATTACGATTCTTCTGTTTACTCAATGATTTAAAAAGAAAATATTCAAAAAAAAGGACAGACATCAAAGAGCTATACGTTGTGTATATATATATCACTGCAGACTATAAGAATGGAATCATTTCCCTATTGTCACATAACCGTACTAGGATTTGCCCGAGATCAGAATCGATCCATTCACTGTTTCTTGTTTTCTGAAGGTCATACATTGTGTTTGGTTATTGTTAACAGCCCAATAAATGTGTTTAATGCGTTGATTTCATTTTTCTGGCTTTGGTCTGTTCTCCTTCCTGCCAGGCTAAACCCTAGCCCCACGCAGCTACCTTCCGGATCTCCCGTGTTCCTTCATCTCCATGTTATGTTCATTTGCAGCCGGTTTTACTGAGTTTGTGGCAAGCAGGAATGCATTTGCTAAGCAAGTATGCCTTTAATTCCACCCCATGGCTCGGTCATTCATCCCAGGTGAGCTTTGGCCTGATATAGTAGGCGACAGATTCCTTGCGTTTCAAAACTGCCATTCCCCGCCCCAACCCCTGTGATGCTCCTGAAGGAATGCACTTTGCCTTGTAAATTCCTGGGAAATTGGGGTATCTTTTCTCTCCAGGTGCAGCCAGATCCCACAAAGTACAAACGAATGCCTTTCTTTTCTTGTTTATAATGGTCACTCACTGTGTTTGGTTACTGTCAAAAAAAATCAATAAATGTGTTTACCAAGTTGCCCAATGCCCGTGTCTGAGTTTATTGAGAAGGAGGATGCTCCCTGCTGAAGTTCCCTGAGTCCTGCTGGGTCCACCAAGCAATTGCATCCAGCCAGCAGGGCAGTCAGAGCTGCGGGAACAAGCTGTCTGGCCAGTCCCAGAACCAGGTAATTAGTACCCTGTTGAGAAAACATATAGGCTTAGCTGCAGGAAGGGACGACTCGGATGTTCGGTTGGTTGCCAAATTAAAAATAACTTTCTCCTCTCCTTCCTGCCACACTGTCCAACAAGAGGGGAAGCACTGACAGGGCAGGTTTGTCCAAACAGCACAGACAAGGTAGGTGTATTGGAAACCCCATCTAGGGGAAACGCAAATTGGTAATGAAAAATTCAAACCATGGGTTATCTCATGATTAAAATACGGTGCTAAGCTGGGCCTTTCTCTTTCCACTTCCTGCATTAGCAGGAGTTACAGAACAACCCGAGCCATGTGGGCATCTAGGTCTACTTCTAAGCAGGTTCATTTTTACAGAAAAGAGATCCTCTACAAAAGATTTCAAGCGAGCAGGAATCAGCCTTGCACTGTGTGGCTGGCTGCTTGCTCTGTGGCCCCAATCTCCCCAAACCCGTGATGTAGTCAATGAGGGAATATGACACTGAAAAATATGCAAGTACATTGACTTCACTCCACTATCTGCCTACCGCATGACCCTGTGTAGATTACTTACTGTACACTGGACATATTAAAACCTAGTCTGTGAGTTCTGTCAATGCAAACAAAAGAAAAAAACAAAAACCAACCTACAGCTATGACCACAAGAAAAAGAGTTTATTCTGGGAAGCAAATCTGGCTTACCACATGAAGGCAATTTAATCATAACAGAGAAGATAGGCATAAATCAAGGCAAATACAAAATACATTGGTGGCTATATCCGAGTGGTGGTTACAGCAAGAAGAGGAGATCTCTCCTACGGGTCTCAGATGCTAGCTGATGCCATTCCTAGCTTTGGAGTTGGCGAAAGCTAGTGATCTACTAAGTTAATAAATTCAAAAACAGCTTTACCTACTTGTCACAAGATGCTAGTCCTGACACAACGCTGGGCAAAGAGTGGCATGGCTTTCTAAGGGAGCTAAAGCTAACCCAAGATAGGGTAGTTAGGCTGTGGGCCTGCAACACTGCAACCTGTCCACATCACGGCGGTTCCATCAGTGTATCAGTAGTTACAGACATGGCTTCCAAATAACCGCTAATGACACCACAACACCTGCACTTGACTGCCCTGGGGGTGATGGCCAGGGAGCATTTGCTTGGCCTAGTCACCTGAAGTATCAAAACCATACCATACATGCCTCCCTTCATAGAAAAGGGTTAGTGTTGATCACCGGGGGACGTCAGACAAACACCAAGAAGGAACAGGTGTTGTGCAGACAGGATAAGCAGGTGTTGAGGAGGAAGCAGGTCTGCAGGACCTGGGCTCCCAGGCCCTTTTCTCTTACCAGTGTCCTCCGTGACTTTGAACAAGTCAGCTCATCTCCCCCAGGCTGGGGCTGGGACAAAACAACCTCCCGTGACCTTCCTACAATGGCATTCCTCAGCCCACCTCTCTCCCTGTGTTCTTTAGTCAAAGGTGGGGGCAGATTAAGGAAAACCCAAGTGATCAGCTGCCCATGGTGTCCCTGAGCCTTGGGAGAATTTCTCCTTAACTGACTGAACTTGAAATGGGTCCAACTGGTCTCTATCTCCCATCTTTGAGACCAGTTCAAAAAGGCCCTTCTCCACGTCCCCCAAGGTCCTAAAGCATAAGGCAGAGAGCAGACATTCCACCTTCAAACCAAAGAGGAACAATGAAGATTAGCTAGACTGTGATGTAGTTCACTTGGCAGGATGCTTATCTAAACATGTACCCTGTAAACTGGACATGGTTACTCATTCCTGTAATACCAGCAATGGGAGAGGTAGAAGTAGGAGAATCAGTTTATGAGTTTGAGTCCAGCTTGAGCTACATGAGACCTTGAATGAAAAAAAAAAATGAAGAAGAGGTTGGCTTTTGTACAGATCCACTTTGGTTTGACATGGGACCTCTCTCGGCAGCCCAGGCTGACCTCAAATTCACAGTTCTCCTTCCATGGCTTTCCCAGCGTTTGGATTACAGGTCTAAGCCACCACACTGGTCTTCAAAAGCAAAAGTGTTTAAAGTTTGAAGTATCAAAAATCCCCCGAGAACTTGACCTGGTGAGGACATCCATAAGCAAAAGTATGTGAACACATTTTGCCATCTAGGAATCTGACAATGGAGCAGGCACAGTGTGCTGTGTTCTGTGGAATTTGCCCAACACCTGGCTCTAAACCTGGCTGGAATGGATAACCCTTTCTTCTGGGAGGGATCTGGGTGTGTGCTGACTCTCATTCTCTTCCTAACAGACCAGGGGAAAGGGTAAATGTGAATGCAAGAGCAGGAGGAGAAAATTCAATGATACAAAGAGAAAACTGAAAATTTGCAGCTGTCTCTGGGGAACACATTTTCTGTTTCTAAGGTCATCGGAGACCTTGTTCCCATCTATCTTAGGTAACAGTTTGGTTTCCATGGCAACAACAGGACACCCACAACTGGCTGCACTAAATATCCCTGTGTGATGGTGACCTGGAATTCAGGCAGGAGAGCTCTGCAAGGGCTGGAATCTGATAAACCATGTGGTTAAAACACCACCAGCACCCCTAGGTGGGCCCTTCATGCTGAAGCCCAGAGTACTTGCATCTACACCAGTGTCCTAGTTTTCTTGCTCCAGAAAACTTAAGAGTAGGATTCTGGGAGCCCAAACTCATTCTCATACCTTCAACAACTAGCTGCTCGAACATAAGGGACAATCTGCCAAGACTGCAGCCAAAGAAACATTCATAAGTCACATCCGGAAAGCACGTTTCCTGTGGCCCAGGCCTTGTGCTAAGTGTTTCCATCCACCCATCTCCTTTCACCCACTCAGGGACCTGAGACATAATCCCAATGATGTTCCCATGTGGTAAATGCAGAACTGGCTTCCTAAAGACTGAAGGCCAACTGGGGGATGCATGCTCATGGGCAGGAAAGCCAGCCTCAGCTCTTTCAAACCCCTGTCTCCAACCACCAGCATCCCCTGGGACTGCTGAAAACTGCAGTTCATCAGCTCACCGAAAAGCTGTTCACACTCCGAGGATGAGAGGCCTAGCAAGCCCAAGTGGGCCTGACGCCCACTCATGTGTGAGAACCATTGTCAATCAGATGTTCATTCCTGTTAACTCCTGCTTTGTGGGGACTCAATTTGCTACATGTTAGAACCACTTAGGTGTAAAACCCTCCAACTTCATCCATGTTATAGAGATGCTATGGCTCCCATCCTTTTGTTGTATTTTAATCATTTACGTTAGCATACAAAATAATGGATTTCATTATAGTACTTCCACACATATGCCCCTGTGCTTATTCTTATTCATCCTTCCCCCACCCCCCATTGGTCCCTCTCTTCTCCCCAATTAGTCTCTCCCCCCTGCTTTCATATCGTGTGTATTCCATAATCCTCTCTTATTTCTCACCTCCCTTATTATTCCTGTGGTCTTGTGGAGGAGGTGTGTCACTGAGGGTGAGGAGCTTTGAGGTTTCAAAAGCCCGAACTCTCTCTTTCCTCTCCTCTCCCCCACCTGTCTGTCTCATGGTTGCTGTCTCAAGATGTGAGCTCTAGTGCCAGGACATGCCTGCCTACTGCCATGTTGCCTGCAATAGTGGTCATAGACTCTAACCCTCTGCAACCAAGAACCTCGGATTGATGTCTTCACTTATAAGCTGCCTTTGTCATGGTGTTTTGTCACAGCAATAGAAAAGTAAGACACCTCTCCTTTTAGATCTCTTCCTTCCCTTTTTATTTCCCTATTTCAACTATTTTGCTGTGTGTGTGTACCCAATACAGATCATCACACCCAATTACTCAGCCTGCAAACAAGCTACGAGTCAGGTGTTTGGGAAGATGAGCTAGGCACATAATTAAATAAAAGTTGCAGGCAAGTTACATCCCTGCCAACTCTTACCTCATGGTGTCTTTCCAGACAATACTACCTCCACATACTACTGCAGGCAGCCCTGTGTCAAGCCCTGTTCTAGTCCTCATCATCTCAGGCCCAAACTATGGCAATATCCATCCAACAGGTCCGTGCCTCTAATTTGTAAGCAAGTGAAAGTCTCTGGACACTAAGAACACAGAAATGCCAACACTACTTGAAATAAGAACCTGAGTTCATATTGAAGAGAGGTTGTAAGAAATATAGGCTGGGCTGGGGCCTAGTAGACAACCAAACAAAACATTTTCTATGGGTATGATTGTGCAATTGAACAGAAAATCTGAGGGGTTGTCCAAATTGATTTGATAGTGAAACAGATTTCAGGTATAGCACACACTGGGCACATTGGATCTAGCGCTTAAATGGAATGAAGCGTCACCCAGGAGCTTTCTGAGAAAATGGAGACCTAGACATTGCCAATCCACTCCCCCCATATCTGGTGCCAATAAACCAAAACCTTCAACCTGTGTAAATCTTTCAAGACTAACAACTTCTGTGGTCCCCATCAGTTTGGGGACTAAAGGATCAAGTTCTTTAGCAAAGTCTTCATTAATGAATTCTCAGCAGCGGTAAATAATTGCAAGTCTGGCTCTCCTTATGCAAGAGGCCAATGATCCCAGATTCTTGGCTGTTTTCCAGATACCTGCATTCTCCAGCCACCTGGCCACATGGCACCACCCAGCTTGGAATTTTCTTTCAAGTTCTTCATCTGTGAAAATGCCACACAACTTTGAAGAGACAGCTCAAATGTCATTTAAGGTTTTCTTGATCTCCTGAGATGTGCTTGGAGGAATTCTTCCAATCATCTAAGCTTGTAATATTTAAATTGAATCTCTAATATCTCAATACTAAAAACATACATAATACATAAATAACGACATGTGGTTCTGTTTCTTTCTGTTTCTGTAGCTATTTGAAGTTTCCTGAAGACA